ATCGAAAGGAAAGCAAATTAACATAACGAAGAGATATCTGCACCCCCATGTTTATTGCAGCACTGTTCACAATAACCAACACATGAAATCAACCTAGGTGTCAATCAACAGATGAATGGATAAAGAAAATGTGGTATATATACACAATGGAATACTACTCGGCCACGAAAAAGAAAGAAAGCCTTTCATTTGTGGTGACATAGATAAGCCTGAAAGACATTATGTTAAATGAAATAAGTCAGGCACAGAAAGATAAATACCACATGTTCTCCATCATATGTGGGAGCTAAAAAAAATAAATAAATTGAATTTTTAGAAGTCAAGAGTAGAACTGTGGTTACTAGAGGCTGGGAAGGGGCAGGGGGAAGATGGATAGTTAGCGTTGGTTAATGGACCTGAAATTACAGCTAGATAGGAAAAATAAATTCTAGTGGTGTACGATAGTGCTAGGCATCTATAATTAACAATAATTTACTGGATATTATCACATGGCTAGAAGAGAGGAGCTTAAATGTTATCACAAATAAACTAAATTTTTGTGATGGTGAATTTGCTAAATACCCTGATTTGATCCCTACACACTGAATACATGTATTGAAATATAACTGTACCCCATAAATACATACAATCAAAACGTTTCAATTAAAAAATAAAAAAGATGGTAAAGTTTATATTATGTGTATTTTACTGCAATAAAAAAATTACATTAATAATTTAGTTCCATTTCTAGGAATTCTATTCATTTTTTCCATGAACTTTTAAAAAATGTATTCTTGATTGTACAAATTTGTGGGCTAGAGTGTGTTATTTCAGTGCATGCATTCAATGTGTAGTGATCACTTACAATGATTTACTTAGGGTAAACAGCATATCCATCAACTAAAAATTTATCTTTTCTTTGTAGTAATTACAGTCAAGATCCTCTTTTCTAGCTATTTAGAAATATGCAATATAATATTATTAGTTGTAGTCAGTCTAGAACACCAGACCTGATTCTTCCTAACTGTAACTTTATTCACTTTTTTTTTTTTTTTTTTTTTTGACCGGTAAGGGGATCACAACCCTCTGCTCGGTGTGGTCTGCACCACGCTCAGCCAGTGAGCGCACCGGCCATCCCTATACAGGGATCCGAACCCCGTGGCCTCGGTGCTGCTAGCGCCGCACTCTCCCAAGTGAGCCATGGGGCCGAAACTTTATTCACATTTTTTGATATCTAGTTCTTTCTTACATTTTTATATCCTCTTATTTATTTAAACACGTTAAACACATTATTTAATAATTTGCATCTAATAACGTCTTTGGCATCTATATCTTTGGTTTATTGTTTGTGGTAATGGTGATTTTTTTTAAAATCATTTGCATGTTTGACTGGGATTTATCTATGGGAATGTTATTAAAGCCTCAATCAGGGGTAGGTTCTTCCAGTCAAGATTAGGTTTGCTTTTCCCACGTATCTGGGTTTGCTGACAAGGAGGAATTGGACTATGCCAATAATGTTAATTTGAACTCCAAAGCCACTTGAGGGAAGGATTGTGATTGAAAGCATCAAAGGACACTATCAAGAAAGTGAAAAGAAAATGAAGAGAATGGAAGAAAATATTTGCAAATCATAAAGGTGTTTAGTATCCATAATATATAAAGAACTCATACAACTCTACAATTGAGACAAACCCAATAAATGGGTTTACCCATTTATTGCCATTACACAGCATATTCTCACTACAAAGCATCATTCTAAGAAGCTAGGTTCAAATCCAAGGCTCAACACTTATCAGCTGGATGCCTTTAGGCAAGTTACTTAACCTCTCTGAGACTCAATAACATCATCTGTAAAATGAGGATAACAGCAGTATCTACCTCCATAGGATTGTATGAGGATTAAATGTGTTAATATATACAAAGCACTTTGAACAGTGTTTGGCGCATAGTAAGAATAACCTAAGTGTTGTCTATTCATATCATTTCAATGAATCCTCAGAACAAGGCCATGAAGTAGATGCTATTGGTTATTCCCATTTTACGGATGAGAAAACTAAGGCACACAGAGAATGAGCAACCCACCAGATCAGCTATGAGCAAGTGGTAAGCAAAGCCAGGATTCAGACACCAGCAGTCTGGCTTCAGGGTCCCTGCTCTCAACATTGCCATATTCTACCTCACATAAATCTGGTATATCAAACCCTTGAATTCATAGCTTTTTTTTTTTTTTTTTTTTTGCCTAGGATGAAGCTCAACTAGGTATTTAAGGTTATCAGTAAGTGAACCAATTTAAGTAAACTTGCTAAGTAAATACTATCATATCTGGTAACCAGATATGGCAAAATTTGCCAGGGGACACGTGAATGACTGAGGTTTAGAAAATACTGGAGTAAACTGAGGAAATCTGAGATATGACAGAAGACACCTGTACTGTTACCAGTGTACTAGGTGTGATACTGCACACCTACATCAAAACCTGTATAGATCTCTTGTGCAATAACTCATCCCAGGCCAAAATGGTTTACCAGGTATCTAACCAAAAATGAGGGAAGCCTGCAGAACTCAGCAAGTCAGCTTGAGGAGGAAATATCTTAATTAAAATCTGAGAGGCCGTGGAGTTGCCATCCCTTGACATCTATTTGAAAGTGAATTGGCCAACCAACCATCTGTTAGCTGATTTCCTACCCACCACCCTCTGGGAAAACAAGTTAGGGGGACTTATCGAGTAGGCACAGTAGTTGCAGTGACCAGGCCCATCATACTTTTAGGGGCCTACCAACACATCTTCATTTCTTTTGAAATTAAATAAAATAATAATATAATAAATAAATTCCTATTTTTTACACAGAAGTCTGAGCCCTAGGGAGGCGAGGCAACTTGCCACTGGTCATGCAAGTGAATCTGAGCACAAAGTCCGTGTACTTTTCACCATATTATGTTGTCTTAATTCAAAGGAGTAAATAATGGTGGGATTCCAGGCAGGAGTGGAAGAGGTGGAAGGTATGTATGTATATATATAAATAGATATAAATGTGTGTGTGTGTGTGTGTGTGTATACACACGTTTTGTGTGTGTGTAGGAAGGGGCTGAAGAAGGCAAAAATGCCCAGGGCCCACAAGAGTCATATGTGGCCCTAATGTGAGGACAGGCCTCATGACCTCTTCCCCCTGACCAGGTCTTCCAGAAACCAGCTCAGCAACCAATGCATGCAGTGCCCTGTCCTCTTAATAACCCCTCAGTATTCAGCAAAGGTGAAGAGGTGGGCTGTGAAACCCAGCACTTCCGGATCCCAAACCTTTGGCTTTGGGAGAACCAGCTGAAGCCTGGGTTCAAGGGGAAGAGACCTGAAGTAGTGCAAGAGGGGAGGAAACCCCTCACACCCAGGAATTGTAAAGACTGCCCAGAGGCCTTCTTCCCCAAAATACCTTCCACCTCTTCCACTCCTGCCTGGAATCCCACCATTATTTACTCCTTTGAATTAAGACAACATAATATGGTGAAAAGTACACGGACTTTGTGGTCAAATTCAGTTGCATGACCAGTTGCAAGTTGCCTCGTCTCCCTAGGGCTCAGACTTCTGTGTAAAAAATAGGAATCATAACAGTAGTGGTTGTGAAGGTAGAAGTAGGATAAATTATGTACAGTGCCAAGTATAGGGTCCATTATTAGAAGTAATTCTTATGAGATGAAAGATATTAACACATCCTGGAGCACCTGCAAGCCCTTTTTGGAGGGAGAACTATAGAGCCTTCAATCATACTCTGGCTCTTTTTTTATTTGATATATCAGTAGGATGCAAGAACTCAAGAAGATAGTTCCAGAAAAAGGGAAGGGAAGGGGAACAAAGCGGTCGTGGGAAAGGCAGGAACTCTCCCAGGTCTACAGAACAGACCCAGGAAAACGCTCGCTTTAGGCACCTGCAGCAGAGCGGGCTTGTGCAGAGCGGGCTTCTGCAGAGCCTGCTGCAGTAAGAAGCACAGCAACCTAATACAGCAAACGTTGCAAGTGCCACTAACCAAAAGAAGGGACTCTAACATAAGCATTCTTGGATGCACTAAGCACTTGGCAGTTTTCTATACGTCCACTCTGATGGGGGGAGGGGAGGGTCATTACTAAAATAAGTCCTTGGAGCTTTGAGAAACGGGTTTCTTGCAGCGTACATCTGAGCACCGGGACAGCTCTACAAACCCAGGCTGGGCCCCACACTCCCGCTCCTGGAATGCGCCATGGGCTCTAATTTCAAAAACCCCAGGCAAACAGCCTCTTAACTAATCATTGCATCTTTCCACTAGACCAATACGCGGATTTGGGGCACAAACAGTACAGAAACACAGTACTATCCATTAGTCAGCAACTTTTAGGAGGCGAGAGTCATGCTGAGCCCAATGCAGCGTAAACTAACAAATTTTCCTTAGCATACTTGGGCTGCTGAGGACTCAGCGCTTTCCCTGGCCCTATCTCTTGGTCTTTTCCTTTGGGGAAGCAAAGGACACTGCGCCAAGCGCAGGTTGCAAAACATCGAGCGATCGGAGGAGGAACATTCTGCAAACACTTATCCAAGGGCCCCAGGAGCTAGTGTGAGGTCTTGTCCCCGGCCCCCAAATCGGCTTTCACAATCCAGCACAGTCCATTCCTCTAATCAGGGACTCCACATGAGTTGGGAATAGTTAGTTAAACTGCAAGTCAGAGCCACCGTTCCTGGCACAGCATGCCCGCTACCAGACCACACTCGTACACACTCGCCCTTTTCTATTAGATGCCCTGTCCGCGAGTGCGCCCCCATCAGGCCCCATTCTAATTGAGGGCGTCTAACCCGCGTGCGCACGTGTTCTTTGAAATTGCGGAAGTCACCGTACCCTATATAAGCAGCGCAATACCCAGACTAGCGCCACAAAGAGGTCCCGGCGCCAGAAGAGCATCCGACAGAGCGGCTGGTCCCAGTTCTAGCACCAAACCCGGAATCCCCGCGGACCCGAGCGCAGTTTGCAAAAGCGCACAGCTTCATCGATAGCACTTAAGGCATGGAGTTCCAACCCGAAGGCAGCCTCTGTGCCACTGGCCACCGCAGCCCAGGAGTCTACGAGGACAGGGAAGAACTGCATGGTAAGTGCCTGGACAGGGACAAGTGCTTTCACGAACTCCAGGATAGAAACTTTCCCTGGGAGAGACGAGTGGACCAGACGCTGCGCGGCCATTGCTGCTGCTTTTCCATAATGGCCCCTCTCCTCCTCCTGCCCAAGCGCCATAGGCTTCAATGCTCTATCTCTCTATTTTGCTTTCCCCCCTTCCCAGATGCGCAGCCTACCGTGACCTCGGTGATTGAACAGGGAAGAGACGACGAGGTACGTGCCGGGCCCAAACCTGAGAATGCAGCAAGATTGGAAGAAAACTGCCCTGGTGCGGAAGCGCCCCCCCCTTTGGATCGCGAAGACTACGAGGGCGTCGGCGGCCACGATGGCCGCTTCTACGAGGGCGTCGGCGGCCACGATGGCGGCTTCTACGAGGGCGTCGGCGGCCACGATGGCGGCTTCTACGAGGGCGTCGGCGGCCACGATGGCGGCTTCTACGAGGGCGTCGGTGGCCCCTATGGCGGCCTCCACGAGGGCGATGGCGGCCACGAGCCCGAGCAACAGCGGGAGGAGCCGGCCCCCCTAGTCGTGGAAGGGCCACAGCCCGCGGAGGGTTATCAGCGCCGCCGCCGCCGCCGCCGCCGCACCGTGTTCACTCAGCTGCAGCTGCAGGTGCTGGAGAACTTTTTCTTTCGCGTTAAGTACCCCGACGTGATAGAGCGGTAAGTGGCTTGCCCTGGAGGCTCCCAGTTCTCCAGGGTCTCGGTCTCATCCCTGGGCGTCTTTAGCTCTCTCCAGGGACATTTTCCCTTCCCTCTGAGCCAGAAGCCATCTAGGGGGCTTAAGGGGGGCTGGGGCAACCCTTGCTGTCTGGGCTTGCAGAGACGCCTGCAGGGATTGCACAGAACTGCACTGGGGTGAACCGAGTGCAGTGCAGCAGGGTCAGATCCCGCCTTTATTTAAAATTTCGGTAATTTTTTCATCGTGGGTTTTATTTTTGTGGGGGGGGGGTTGCATTAACTTTTTTTTCTTTTTTTTTTATTGGGACATAGATGTACATATCTGGGGTACAGCATTGAATATCAATACCAGTGTGCAATACGTGGTGTTCAAATCAAAATGATTAGTATATTCATCATTACGCAACGTAGTAGATTTTTGTATCCCTTTACCAACTCCTCCTTTCCTCCCTCCACCCTTTCAAATATTTATCTTGATAGTGAGGGGGTTTTTTTGCATGCAAGGCGAGCACGTCACTCGTCTCACCCTAGTCCTGGCTCTGCCACTTGGACCTCTTTTCTCTACCAAGGCGACAGAGTTTTGAACTTTCCAAAGCTGGCGAATGGTTCCCTTTGCTGGCCTGCCTGATAGCCTTTGTGCTCCCAATCCCTTTAGTGTACGATGGGGCAGCCCTATTCTAGACCGGCTGGAATGGGGGACGAGGACAGGTCGGTGTGGGGTTTGGAGGCGCCTTCTCTTGCTCCGCTGTATTCAGCCTTCGCCCGCCAAAGAGCAAAAAAGAATTTTCCTAAGGCACGCTTGACGCGTGGTTTGGAGTTCCCTCCTTGAGAGTTCATCTCTCCCTTTTATGATAAACGGAAATATTCTAGTTCAAAACAGTGCTTTAAAGGTGTTGTGGCATTTCATTTATTTTCACAGAGGTACCTCCCAAGAAAAGATTTCCAGGGTTGTTCTCTTATGTTCTACAAATGGAAAAACTGATTGAGTCACATTCAGCTAACGAACATACTACCAGACACTTACACATATATTCCCTTTTTCTATCTTATTTAAGGATAAATTGTCCATGGGAAAAAACTCCGTAAAGCAAGCCTTAAACTGTATTACAGAAAACTGCACTGGATGTGGGGATAGAAATAATGTACATCCATATATTTCATATTATTCACAATTCCGAATACTGAACATTTGCATTTCTCCCCCCCCCACCACCCCCCACCCGCAGAGAGGAGCTTGCAAGACGCCTGAATTTGACTCAAACCGTCGTGCAGGTCAGTAAATCTTGAAAAAGTAATTTGGCAGGGCAGCCATTCTAAAACATGCTCTAGGTTTTGTTCTGGACATTCTCAAGATGGTGTGTTTTTGTTGTCTTTTCCATGTTTGGCAAATAAGTTTTGAACATTGGGGGCCTTGGAGGTGGAAAATGGGATAAGTAAACTCCAGATTATGGAAACTGTCAATGACCAGAGGAAGCATGATTTCCTAAAGGGGAAATAATGGAACTTGTATTCTTCTTTCCATCTATAGATAGATAGATAGATAGATAGATAGATAGATAGATAGATGATGGATGGATGGATGGATGGATGGATGGATGGATGGATGGATGTACACACTCATAGCAGCCCTATTTTTTAATATTTTGGAATACTTTAATGTCAGCCTGAAAAACATTGCTAAGAGCTTTAGAAAATTGTCTTTAAAAACTGAAACAGAAAAAGAAAGGAAGAACAATTTTGAATAAAGTTGCACTGATTGAGGAAGGCTGGAAAGGTTAGAGAAGAATTGTACACAGTCAAACATATGCATTGCAGATGCCAAACAAATTCAACTTTATGAAACTACCAAGTGAATATTCTCTTCAGGAATTTCTAACATCTAAGATTTTTTTTTTCCTTTTTGGTGCTATTATTTTGAAAAGGAGAGTTTTCTGGAATTTGACTGGTTGGGAAGTGCTCTCAAGTCAGGCCAGATTCTTATGTTGATTTAAAGTACTTTTTTAGTTACTCAGGCAGTGATGACTAATTTTGTAGGCCATGGCATCAAAAGGTGACTATTCGAAATCATAGAAAACCATAGTTGGCATTAAAAAAGTATTTGACAAAAACAAAAACCAGAATGGGCTTATTAGCTTCGACCCAGAGTGCATGTGAATGCAGTGATGGAAACACACTTCTCCTGTGTTGGTGGTGTCCAGAAAAGCAGCCACTGAATGCTGGCATTCTGATGCCAAGAGCTGGACTCACAGACATGCCTAACATCAGGTTGGTATGACAAGGCCTCTGCTTTCTCAGGCAAACAAGGCAAACTCTGGCGGGATTGGGGTGGGGAGTGGACTTAAAATTTGCTAAGTTGCTTTCCCCTGCCCTGAGTTTACATAGGTCTCTCAATGGATTTCCAAAGGGAAAAAGAGCCAGAAAACACGAATAAGGAAAAAGACAATGCCCTCATCTATTTCCGAACTCTACAGCCTGAATTTCCTCCAAGAAGCTTTTAATAGGTGCTTTCCCCCCTTTCTTTTGTAAATGTAGTAGACCTGTTTTATGAAACCAGTACAAGGAATATGGACCTAATATGGGGCCATACCAAGATTTGTCATCTTTGGTTATGTTTAGGGAGATTTGGCCACTGGCACATTTGAATCCCTCTAAAATGAGCTCTGTAGCAGTGGCCTTCTTCAGACTACATGTTCATGCAGCAGAAGGACCCCAAATACTAAAATAGGAAAGAGAAAGGGTGGCTTCAGCCAGGGAGAAGAAACCTTTTGTCTCAATTAAAATTTGCAGTTTGTGAGTATCCAGAAGCACTAAATACAGTGTAAACCCCATTAACTAGTATGCTAAGAAGGCAGTAAAGCCTAATTGACAGCTTGCTTGCTTGTTAATAGGTGGCAAGCAGTTAGGGAGGAACCTTTTTTTTGACACCCCCCCTCCCAATCCACATTGTTGTTGAACGTCTTCCTAGAAGGTGGAGTTGGGTTTTCCTGCCTTAGGAATGAGTTATGGGATTGGAGTCTCCTGGTTAAGGAGTGGGGCTGGAAGGACCCAGGGTGCCCTCCCCGCCCACCCCACCTGGGCAGCAGTGGCTACCGTCCAGGATCCTGAAACTAACTAGAGCTGAATGAGCTGATCTTGCCCTGAGCCCAGGGAGGTTTGGAGGGCAAAGTGGACTGGAGTGTGCAAAGTTGACAATGGTGACAATGGGATGCCCAAGGACTCTTGTCTGGGAAAAGGATTTTGAGAGTCTGTTGAATTTGGACACAGTTAGGCTAAATTTTCCTTAACACTAAAATAACAAATAATGTCCAGGGTTTTAGAAATTCATGTCCCAGCAAGATATGCCACAAAGTCCCTGGGACCCCATGATTGGGCCTCCCTTGACATACCACCACTTGTTTAATTAGCAAGAGATTTCAGAGGAAGAATGAGTCCTTAAATATCCTTGAAGGAAACCTTTTGTCTAAAAATCTATCATGCTCATATTTATTAGTTGCTTCAGGCCGAAGGAGGGCTTTTGGAATAGGGAGTGGTTCTCCTCAATATGGCTTTAATTGGGCCCACCTTTTTGCCATGCTCTCCTTCCCCCACACCAGGCTGTCAGTATGTCTGGTGAGAAGGGGACAGAGGCAGCTGGACAGCTGATGGTTCAACATTTCTTTACTTTGTTACAAGGCTTGAACATTAAGAGCAGGGACTCAGTACAATTCATCAGCTGCACTTGTACCCAAGACCTAGAAAAAAAACATTAAGGAATATTAAAAGCAGGAGGAGCTAGACAGCAATGTGCCAAGCTCTGGACTAGGCTTAGCTCACTAAGGGTTAGCTTAAAGGAGGACATGAGCTGTTTACTCCTCTCCTAAGATATTTCAGCAATAAGGAAATTGTTTCACCTGTTGCAGTTTAAAACTTCAATGGCATATAGAGACTCGTATTTTTTTCTATCATGACATTAATAGTCCAATATACTAAACCAATTCCTTTTTTCTCTCTGGTTGAAGGTTTGGTTTCGGAACAGAAGGGCCAAGTGGAGACGATATATGAGAGCAATGATGTTAAGAAATATGGCCCCCGTCGCCTTTGGCCACCGTATGGGAGCAGTTGTCAATTGGCCCTATAATCCCGTCCCTGTTCGGGGGCCTGCTTGGGGATATGCTCCTATGGTGCAACAGCCGCTTGGGCCGCTTATGCCACAAGGGCCACGTGTGCAGTTTATGCCACCTGTGCTACGTGTGCCTCCCATGCCTCCCTTTGGCCAGGCCCCTGTAGGTATGGCATGGGCCCCTGTCGTTAACCATCATTTTGCAGGTCACATGTTCTAAAGTATAGTCTTCATGACAATTTTTCCAAAGTGTTCTTCTGCCAGATATAAATTGTGCATAGCACAGCATTGAGAGTAATTCATTAAATACCTGTTAAATGAATTGAAGACATTTACAAAGTTACACTTTTGTTGTTTATGTTGGCCAGATGTTTATATTTTCAATAAAGTTATGAATTTGCAGGACATTGGTTTTGAGTACTGAATGGGGTTAGTAAGGTATGGATGGGAACTGCTATTGGAATGCAATTTGAACAAAATGGTGAGGAGGCCTCCTTTCAAGAGGTAATATCCCTGAGTCACCATCAGGAGGCTGTGCACATAACAGAGTTCTGCAAGTGCTCATGGCAGGTTTACACTGACCCACATATTCTCCTTCCACGCCTACCCCCACAACATCATCCTCTTCCCCACCCTGCCCCTCTGTAAGCACATACCTACATACCTGTGCAAGATGGGAAGGGGTGAATCTCAAGTAAGAACAGTGCCTTCCCAGGCAGGACCATGTTTCATTCATGCTAAGGACATCAAGCCAAACCCTAGACTTTAAAGGAAACTTCCTAAGGGGCTACTCAGAAGACTTTAAGGGAAGATGGCAGCCAAACACCCAACCAGTACTCTCCATATTCTGTTCGCTGCCCTGCATTTTGAGGAGGAGATAGGGAAATAGGAACCTTCTGGTCCAAAGGTCCTGCAATTTTAAAGGAGACACAAGGGAGAGTCCCATCAAGACCGGAAAGAGGCTGTTCTCTCTTTTCTACCCCCACCCGCAGCCAGGAGAGCCCATTACTGTAGCTTCCCAGTGAAGAAGTGGAAGTCACACTCTCTAAAGTGTTTTTGTCACTTTTAATAACCTTGAGAGAATCCTGTTTCCTGCTGATTAAACACTGAAAGGGAGCCATTTGGTTTACTGCTGTTTGAGGCAAGAGATTGTCCCCTGAACAATGTTCCAGAATAATCAGTTATTGAGAAGAAGCAGTCAGACCTTTGCTTTGTTTGTGTTGTCTTCTTCATGCAAATCTGGCTGGGTAGAAAATAAAAAACAAAATGGGGGATGGGAGAAGGAGGCCAGTCCCACTATTTTTAAAACATGATTTATTTTTAGTAGAACATTTGCTTTTGAGCAATTTCTAGTAATTTACAGTAATTTTATGAACACAGTTATACTATGAAATGATTGCAATGGCTTCAGATAAGGGTGTCATGGTTATACCAGAATTTCTTCTCACTGGAAGCGGGGCTTGGGGCTTATCAAAAACAAGTTTCACAGCAATTATATGCACCTAGTTTGAACTGAGGGTCTGCTATTTGAGGCAAGTACGATTTTTGCAGTGTTGTTAGATACTTTTCATTCCTTTCTTCCCTCTCTTCTTCACACTTGTGGATGTCAAACATCAGCAAACTGATTGTATCTAATGCGAGACTTCTGCAGCAATGTGGTCATCACTACCCTAGTGCAGTGAGGAACATTCAGGAATACACCCATGCATACCCATTGACATCTTCATGTGGTGATTTTGAAACCCATCCATTCTTATTTTCCATTGTTTACCCCTTTTCTTCTTGTTAGACATCAGGTTTCTCAATGCCTTAAGTCCTCTGGGAAATACCGGGTCTGTACAAATAAAAGCTCCAGGACCCCATCCAGCCTTACCACCCTGAGACTCAAAGCCAAACAGCATCAAGCACACACATTCCACAGTTAACTCTATATCCAGTCTGACAGACAGAATATAGAATTTTTTTTTTTTACCTCAGGCCGCCTGGAAGAAGAAAAATGTGAATGTCCTTTCCCATAAGTGGATGGGGTCCTTAAGAGACGTTCATACTATTTTCTAAATCATATCTACTTCTTCCAGGTGCCAGATAATTTAAGGAAGGATGATGAGATAGGGACAGAGGAAATATGTAAAATATTTCTGCAGATAAAAAGGTTTTCTCAGTCTAGGTTTTAAAAGAGAGAGGTCTTCTGAAATAATCCCAAACAGAGCATTTCTCTTAAAGTGCATTTCAAATATCCCTAAAGTATGGATCCATAATTGATTATTCTAATATAAGGAAGTTACTTTGATTTATTTTTTAAAAAATACTTTTAGAAACTGGCAATTAGCAAATATGTTTACCTGTGATAGGTGGTCGTTGCAGATGTTAGTTTTAGCTGAAAAGTTGTAAACACAATCTCAAGAGGAGTGCGGGATGAAGCATTTTACAGTAATCTAATGATTCTGGATGTGCTCTTGCTTACTAAAGTTGTTTTACACCGAAGAGCACATGCATGCTAGGGAGCTTTCACGATAGTCAAATTCAGCAGGGAGAAGGTATAAACTTTTGGGGGGGAGAAAACTCTTTTGATTAAAACTGGATTTGTATAACCTGGACCTTGTTTCAAATAGATGTATGTAATCACAACTTTGGAGATCTAACTTCAAAGTGCCTGAGAATCATAATGTCAACCCAACATTTGTACTACAAGCAGTTAGGAAAAGGGGCAAGTGACTAGAAAGTGTTCTTTAGCTGAAAATACAAGGGTCTCCCTTGAGACAGGTGTGAAAAGTGACTTTTTAAAGACAGGAGTTACTATAAATATATACAAAATGGGGAACAGAGTTTGATCTGAGTTGTTTTCCGAAGAATAGATGTTTGCCTGAATTCTGATCATGGGTTTTACACCTAAAATTGGGCTTGCTCTAAGCACATATGATGTACCATTTTTCTACCCAATCATTCGAGGCTGATATGACTACTCTAGGAATTGTTGAAAACCCAAAGGTAAAATATGATGCTTAAACAGAGTTCTTTACTGGATTTCCTAATTGTTAAATCCAAGTTGTCTAATTTGAATTCCAGTAGCCCAGGGCCTCCAACTGACGGAAGTGAGGGAATTAGTACAAAGTGGTCCACAGATCTTGGGCTGGGTCTCTCAAATCTTGAGTGGACACTCTCTGGAGGCAAGTGGTATCATGACATAACCCTCGTCACATACCCCTCTTCCTCACAATGCTGCATGAAATTATTTTGGTGGAGGGTTCATTTGATACCTTCCTAATGGTGCCTCCCAATTAGTCAATGTGGTGGGGTGTCCCAAAGAAAATAGACTCTTGCCTCAGACAGCTTCCCTTTCCTAAACAGGTCCTTTCTCATTTTCTCTTGAGGTACATTCACACAAGATCACCTTAATTTGTCCATTGAGACAAACATTCATGAATCCTGTAGTAGTAAAAGGATGGTGAAAACAGGGAACTAGTCCCGTTGTTTCATGTTACTCTTCCAAGCAATGTGCCTTTCTTCATCTGGGGGACACCCAATGTAAAAGAAGAGACCATGATATTCTTTCTGAATGAGAAGGATTTCACAGTCATCCAGTGCACTCCCTTCATTTCACAGATGAGGGAATGCAGGTCCAGAGCGGTGGCATGGCCTGCCCGAGATAGCATGAAGAGTTCACCCCAGAAAAGTGCAGCTTCTCTGTGGCCATGCCCTCCCCTGAGGCCTAGGATTGCTCAGCTAGAGGCAGCATGCTCCAGCCCAGGTACAGCTCCTCAGTGCTTATCATCTCCATCTGCCCAGAACTCTTTCCTTTAAGGGGCTGTAAACTCAGGGCTCCTCCCCAAGCCTCGGCACTGGGCCATCTTACCTCTAGGAAAAGTAAGCGACTTCCCCTGAAGGCATGCAGTATCCTGGTGCCCACTCTTGAGTGCTGAACAGCAGGAGTTTGAGACAGTGATGCAGTTTGTACCCTCCTCACAAAAGGCCAAGTGTGCTTCCACTACAATAACCCTCATTTCCCCCAATCCCCTGGCAAAGCCGTGCCTGCCAACTGGCAGCACAACACATAAGCAACAGCCAACTCTGGGCTTGTGTTGAATTAACTTTTTTTTGTAAAGTAGGCTAATAGTTTGGAAACTGTCATTATGCAATTTGTATTCATTTTGAAATGTGGTTATTTATGCTTTGCCTCTATCAATGTCATCCTCTCTCCTTCTCAGACGTTAGCGCAGTGCTATGGGGCAGAACCCAAGGTGCAATTGTTGTAAATTTAATTTTCAGATGTACCCCAGTGGTCTCTATGTCTCCCCATGTGAAGTGTAGATCTTAAGGAGACTGTCTGGATTCCCAACATTTACATGCAAATATTTTTAGACTGGGAATACAAAAGACTCCTTCTGAAAGCACACTCTGTTGTGCCTCACAAACAAGGGGACACAAGTGATTAAAGAGGTGGCATACAGGCATCTGCAGCATAATTGATACACCTGGACCCTTCTTAAACACGGCCCCCAGACAAAACTAGGGCTTCTGTGAAAACTGCAGAGTTGGAACAAAATTTTCTACTCCAGGCCCAAGAATCTTGATTTAGGAAATAAACGAGAGGCAGGGTAGAGACCAAGGAAGAGTCTTTGACCAGTTCTCCTTGAACAAGGGAGACAAAGAGGTAAAGCAGATGCATTTGAAGTCAGGAGTGGGAAATCCAGCTGTGTTGCCCCAGGGGAGAAAGAAATTCATATCCATGGCCGGGCCCTGAGCCGTTGCTTGTGTTTAGGGAGCAGGGTGATGGGTGGGCACTGGCAACTGGGTAGTGCCTCTGGGAGGTAGCCAGTGGGGCTTATGGAGGTTGCTCTGGCCAGCTGGTCTTCACAAAAGAGAAAAAAAGAAAAACAGAACTCAGGTTCATGTGCAAATCAGCCCAATATCTCCTTCCCCAGTTGCCATCACACGGTAAAGCAATGCAGCTGCCCTTTCTCTTTTTCTCTTTCCTACTCTCTTTTAACTCAACCAGGATTGAAATATTCATGAAGAAAGAGGGAAAGTCAGGATAGACAGGGAGTTCTACAATGCGATTGTCCCTGGCCAAGGTCCCAGCCCCAGCACCTCATGAAACACCCAGGATGGTTCTGTTTCCTCATTTTTATCAGAAGGACTTTCCAATCATGTCCAGTGAATTCTGTGAGCCCACCAACCACATCAAAACCTTAACTCCAACAGGGAGTCAGACAGAAATATTGCAAGGTGCTAAATTGGTTCTTCTGTTGTTTATTTAACATAGAGGCTTGGACTTCAGGGCATCTCCACAGCCAAACCTGTTCTTCCATTAGGTGAACATATTTTATAGTCTCAAAACTCTGCTTAAGAGAGTGTTCAATCCATTCATGCCAAACAAGAAGTAAGGAAGCTGGTCACCAGCTGTG